GCAAAACACTTACCAAAAACAAACCCCCAAAAAGTGTCCTTAACGTTGCCGAATGACCGAAATGCGCGTCCTCAAAGAGTTAAAGTTAAAGCTGTTCACAACAGTTTTGTTTGTTTTTTTAACTTCCGAGAAAATATTTGTTTTAGTAGAGGTTTTACGGCGCTCGCAACTGCATTAGGTCATATGAGCGCCAGAAGATTAGAGGTGTTACAAGAGAGTAACAAACATAAAAAGAAGGATGTGAGATAAAGACGATAGATGTTTGATAGGAAAGAAAAAACAAACCACACCAGAGCACCCGCCAACGACCCACTGCAGAAAAGAGGTAGAGAGAACCGGCGACAGAGTTGACGACACCACGGATCACCACATGACATGACAACATTATCAGGGATACCAGGAGTACCCCGCACAGACGCGTAACCTTCATGCTGCCGTCCCACAGCAGAGCAACAGACAGTATCGAGAGTTGTGTTTATTTGTTTGTTTGTCTGTTCGTTTGTTTGTCTGTTTGTTTGTGTTTTATATGTTTGTTTGTTAGTCTGTCTGTCGTCTGTTTGTTTGTTTGTTTGTTTGTGTTTGTTTGTTTGTTTGTTTGTTTGTTTGTTTGTTGTTTGTGTTTGGGTTGTCGTATTTATTGGTTTCGTTGTTACTCTCTTGGCTATATCCTTCTTTTGTCAAAAGAAGGCCGAAGTTCCAACGTTCGAAATAGAAAATTTCAAAGTGGTAAGGTACTACATGACTGATCCCAAGAATAATCGTCCGAAGTTTTTCGCGAGTTCCTGAAAAGATCATGAAATGTGCAGTGACGTGCAGTGTGTGTCCTGCTGGGAGGCACAACCACGACGACTCATCAGCCACGCATGGGCGTTTAATTTGGTTCGTTTCGTGAATTATATTTTAAAGCTGTTTTGTGAGAGATCATTTTTATGAACGTTGAAACTATTCGAAATTTTAATCTCTTTGACAAACTGTTAAGAAGTTATTCCAAAGTGCATCCCTATTTTTTAAAAACGTGCACAAACGGAACAACCAAAGAGTGGTCGTTATGGTGATGCCAGATCGACATTAAGCTTGTCTTGGAAGGAGTATTTTTCGTTTAAT